AACGGCGGACTATATGGACGTCGGCCTCGCTGGAGCGAGAGCTCAACGGCGGGCGATATAATGTCGTCACGGCTCGAAGGCCTCGTGACCTTCCGAGACTGAGAAGTGTTAGAGGAACGGCCGTGCCTATCCCGAAGGCTTGCAACAGACCTACTTTCCCCAATCCTTCCCGTCTCAGCTCAACTTTCACGAATGAGGTTCGGTATATATTTTTATTCACGCACATGTATATACGTATGTATATCCATTATTTATTTATTATTATTATATTATTACTATTATTATTATGTGTGTGTATACACACATGTATATATATGTATGTATTTAAAGCGAAATTGAGAGTAGGATTACCTGGGGCCGGTGCAGCGTAGGCCCATGAGTATTATCGACTAGAGGGGTTGATTCTTCCTTTGCTCAAGTCCCCGCTGAGCTCCTCGACTTTGCGATTTTTGTCGCTTGTCTCAACCTAATTCTATCTATTACAGTATTTTTTGGGCCCTTACATATGCATTTTTCACAAATAAATGTACAAGTCCTTATTTGGCTCAAGACTTACAATAAATATGCACTTTGTAAGCCCTTATTCAATACTTACCTTATCAGGTCCAAAAACTAAACATATTTTAACCGGGCCCAATAAAAATGGCCCCTCCCACTTATACACTCTTTCACTGTCGATCTCGATTAATAGGGACTCCCATCAAAACGCCGATCTCAAATTTTGCTATGCTGCTCCTTCCTCGGCTTGCACCCACTTCAGGTCGGCTTTTCCGCTTCAGATTGACTTTTCCAACAGAATTGATATTTAAGGTGCGTGTTCGATTGGGCTTGAGAACTGGGTTGTGCGGTGGAGCTCGTTTCCTGGCGGTTCGACATTTGTGGAGTCGACGGCTTTGCTGTGGTGTTGGACGACGTCGACGGCCGCGATGTGAGGTTGACCTGAAGTGACGCGACCGGATCTGCCTTCCCGGTTCGGTGATTGTGAGATCGGTGTCGGTGAGGTCGGCGTCGGCTAGGCAGGCATCTGGATTTGCAGCGGCGGCACGGCATCTGAGTCCGAGGGCGACGAGGTCGAGGTCGAGGTCGGGTCTCGGTTGAGGTTGCGAGTTCGGCCGCCGATGGTGTGGCAATGAGTTTGGCCGGCGGCTGTCGTGCTAGGTCGGTGTCTGACGGGGTAGCGAGTTTGGCGGCCGGCGGTATGGCAGCGAGCTCGGCCGCCAGTGGTTTAACAGCGAATTCGGCCGCCGGTTGTGGTGCGAGCTCGGTGTCTGTTGCTGAAATCAGGCCCCAGTTGTGGATTGGACGCCGGTGTGGGGTGAGCTCGGTGTCTGTTGCTGAAATCAGGCCCCAGTTGTGGATTGGACGCCTAGCAGCAAGTTGAAGTCCGAGGATGACGAGGTTAACCTCGGTGACTTTGACTGTTGCAATGTCGGGTCAACCCGGACTTCGAGACTTTGGAGTCTGAGTTCGGCGTTCAACGGTGATGTCGGTCCCGTCAGTTGTGAGGTCGGCACTGGGGTTCTGTCTGATGGCCCGCCGTTGATCGTGGGTTGAAGTCGGTTGGATGTCTAAGTTGTGAAGTCGTGCTCGGCATTTGCGGGGTCGACTCGTAGGTTTTAGGCCCGAGTGCGTTGGGCTGCGGCTGTGACGTCAGATAAGCCCGGGCCTAAATGTTTTGGAATCTGAGCTCGGCGTCTAACCGTGGTTGTGGATTCGGGTCAGCCCAGATTTGTATGTTGGAGTCCGAGCTCGGTGTCGGGCTGCGGTTGTGGATACGGGTCAGCCCGGATTTGTATGTTGGAGCCCGAGCTCGGAATCGGGATGTGGTTGTGGTCTCGGGTCAGCCCAGACTTCGGCGTTGAGGCATTGAACCTATATTTAGTGAAGTTGTGCGAGCTTCATACTTGTAGCTGTGAGGCTGGATGTGCCGAGGTTTCGGCAAGGCGAAGTCGGCGTCGACGTTTATGAGATCATGGGATGGTCTTGAAGCTCGCCGGCGGATGGCGAGGTCGGCCCCGATGACTAAGGTTGAAAATTGGAGACGACGAGGCTTTGCAGATGGGTGATCGGCCTGTCCTTCTTTTTCTTTTTCTCTTTTTTGTTTTTTGTTTTTTGTTTAATCATTATCAGATCTGGATGTGACATGAACAGTGTTCTAATGTAATGTGAACAGTGTTTCGCTGACAAAAATAGTGTTAGTAACGTGGCCATGTTGTGTCCAAGCAAGTGGGTCTTATTTGTCTATTCTTTATTCAGCAAAAAAGAAATGGGAAAATAAGGAAAAAGAAAGAAAGAATGAAAGGAAGGATTGAAGTTCTTGCGTAAAATGGTCGCAGAATTCAATGAAATTGCCCCAACTTTTGTCCTCTTTTTCTGCTCTTACTCGTGGCTTTTTGCGAAGCTGGAGATAAGGATTTGTGCAATTTATGGAAGAATGAGGGGAAATTCAAATACTCACGATATAGATGTGTACTTTAAAATTTCTGAAAATGGTGAGACAGATCCCAGTGTTGAAATATATGGAGTACTGGTTCATGGCCAAAGTAGCAGCAGGTCTTCTCTACTTTCTGTATGGTTGGAGGATATATTTTACGGTGGGGATGTGGCCGTTTTCGGGAGAAAATTGACTCCGAGCAAATTACGGAACCCTTCCTCTAGCGTCAAACTGTTGATGTCGAAAATCGGACGATCAACTGTTGAATATACGTTGAATTTATTGTACAATGATCAAGAACAAAATTGATAGAAAATAGTATTTCTTTGCATTCATTTGGAGAGTATTCCTCACTCTCTCTTGCATGTTGTGTAGGTCAAAATAAAATGGAAGAATAGTCCCGTTCTCTTTCCTCTTTCTTACATATATATACAAGTCTCTCCCCCACTATCTTGCAAGTGGGCTAATTAAATAAATAATGGTACATTATTATTTAATATGAGATGGCTATTGTGGGAACCTCTTATGACTCTTGACGATTCCGATTGACATCATCTTTTCGACAATTGTGGCGTCTTTCCTGAGGCGGCTTATTTAGGATACCCGCGTCGGTCGATCACCCCGAATCCTGCCCGGCTCCGTAGCGGAGAACTTGTCATCTTGGGGGTCCGGTCGGTCTTTGGACGATCAACTTGGAGTACCTGTTTGTATATTTATTTATCACGTGTTTTCGGCTCCTCGATTACAGGGTCGTTCTTGTTTTATTTTATATATTATTTAACTAACCGAAACCAAATTGGGTATCAACAGTAAATTTAACTAATTATCTATTTCAATCACCTCTCGCCCATTTTTCCATCAAATCAACTTCAATCATTTTATTTTAAATAAAAACTCAAAATCACCATTGAATCAGCTTTATTCAAAATCTCACTTTATTCAACAAATTAAATTTAATCCAAACTAATTTATTTCCAATCGCAACCCAAATTTCTAGAATAATCGCAACGGGGCACCTTATGAAATATTCTAGATTGAGCATTAATGGTGTGATTGGTTATGGATGGTAACCGGTTTTAATCGGTTTCGAACTATCAAGTTATTTTGTTCACACCCAACTCTCTTACTTACTATAAATATAATTAGATAATATGAATCAATCATCTCCACACATCACATCAACTTTAATCCATTATTTATCCATTAATATAATTTTAACTACTTATAACTTTCAATAGTTAGCCTTAAAACACCTCGTCGTTTCTCTCTCGTCCCTTTTCTCTGCAACAGTAAACCCTCGCCGTTTCTCTGCCAAATTGAGGTCGTCCGCCTTCCTTGGTGGCCACCGTGCTTAGCCGGCGGTTGCTGGCCCCACTCGCTTGGTTCTCGCCTCTTTTTCTCTGCTCCGTCGCCCGATTCCATGACGAGGGTCCTCGTCTGTTGCGGAAAGATCCCGTCTTTCCGGTGCCGATCCGTCGTTTCAGATGGGGTGATTCTCGGTTGTGAGGTGGTGGAGCCGTTGTGCGGTTCCAGGGGCGGGACACAGCTCAATTGCACGGCGAATTGTTCGCCGGGTGACAGGGGCGGTGATGATACTCACGGCCTTTCATCCTTGTTCTCGTTTTCCATGTCGATCGGGGTCATCGCGACGATTCTTCCTCCGGTGATGCTGGTTGGGGTGTTGACGAGGTGGGGTGATGGTCGTTGGGTACCTTGCCGGCGAGTTCGGGCGGGGCTGCAGTCATGACTTTCTTTTGGCCGTTTGGTGCAATTGGGTGTGGTGGCTGAGGTGTGGGTTGACCTGCTGCGGTTCCGGGGTTGGGGCTTCGTCTCCGTTAGGCACCCGAGGGGTTTAGGCAGTTTCGAGATCGGTGCTCCTGGCCATGGGATCCGTGGTCGACTTGTTTCCGCTGTTTGGCTCGGTGTTACTGCTAAGGAAGGGCTCGTTTAGTTTAGTTTGTGTTATTTTGTTTTGTCTTGTGTGATTTTATTTTGTCCTATTTATTTTCTGGTCTCTTTTGTAGGATGGTGGTTTTGGTTTGGGCCATTTGACCTCAGTATTTGAGCGGGAGCACGCTTATTATCCCGTTGGGATCTGCCCCCGTCTCTATTCTCCTGTTGGGAGCCTTGTAGTTTTTCTTAGTATTTGTCGTGTGCTTTTGTATTGTGCTCTTTGTTTTTTGGTTTCTAGCGTTGCTAGTATCGGGATTCTAGGCAGTCGTCGGACTTGTCCTCTCATTTTATTCTCCCGTTGGGAGCTCTGTACTTTTATTCGCACATTGTGCGTTTTGATTTATAATAGTTTCTCTATCGTTTCGGGAAAAAAAAAAAAATAACTTTCAATAGTTTATGTCCTACTTTTATATCACGTCACCCTTAATTATTACATTTTAAATATTATCCGGTTACAAACTCAAAATTATGTACTCAATAAACTTTTGCAACATGACTCAATTTAATCAACTAAATTGGATTATGAATAGTTGGATTCGTATCCAATCACGCCGAGATCCTTGTTTTACAACTTAAAGAGCCATCTCTCATCCGTTTTCTTCTTCTCTCGTTCATGGAGGTAAATTATATTTCATGGAGGTAAATTATATTAAAGAGCCAGAATTATTTTTGCACAAAAAAAATTATATATATTTCATTTTAATGATGAAGGTAAATATTTTTTAAATAAAAGATAAGAAACATACTCATACTACTGAAGTTGTCATCTACGATTCTTTGAAACATAATATTCATCAATATTCAAATAAAAAAGAAAAAAGAAAAGAAAAGATGGTGTTGCGAGAAGGGAGCAACACAAAATCTGCGCAGCCTAATACGAACTGAACAAGGAATACTTCTCTTTATTTGTTGTATGTGTAAATTTTTAATGTTGAATTGATGTTTGAGGAAATTACATCCTCCACTTAAACAATCTTAAAATATTACATAATTCCATCTCCTATATAGCTATTTATAAACTAACTAAATTTGTTATATTTATTTGCATATATGCCTAAAAATTTGATTTCCTATTTACATGGTAACTTCTCATCCTATTTACATGGTAACTCCCCTCATCTCTCTCTCTCCGGATCTTGCTTTCTCTCGCCAAACCCTATCCATCGTCTCCCCTCATCTCTCTCTTCTCCAGATCTTACTTTTTCTCGCCAAACCCGATCCATCGTCTCCCCTCATCTCTCCCTCTTCTCCAGATCTTGCTTTCTCCCCGCCAAACCCTACCCCTCACGCCGCCCCTAGTGCTGCCATCACGGCGATGGTCTGCTTAGACACCGACGAGCAGGGATGACGCTCGATGTTTCTAGACGAAGGGACGAGGAGACGACTGTTGCTTGCTTGAAACGAAAGAGAACGACCTCTGCAAATTCGAACGAGGGCTGGGAAGTATTTGATTTTTATCTCGTACATAGACCTTTTTGATTGACTGCTCGTGAAAAACGAACAGAGGTGCGGGATGATAAGGCTGCGACAGAAACCTTTTTTTTTTCTACTGCTTGATCAATGATTTTCACCTGGATTGGTGTTTTGTGCTGTGAATTTTTTTCTATCTCTGTATGGTTTATATTCAGTATATTTTTATCCCCTCATACTGTATCGTGTTTGTATCGTTCCCACTGTTATACGTATCGTTTGTATTCAATATATTTTCGGTATATGTATGGTTTATATTTATTAAAATATAAATATTCAGTATATATCATTCGCCTCTAATGAATATGGTTTATACATATTCAGTATATGTATGGTTTATATTCAGTATATTTCTGGTATATGTATGGTTTATATTGTGCGCGTCTATTGTTTTGTGTCGTGTTGTGGTATATGTACAGTATATAATCAGTATATATGAAATATATACTTTTTTTTACCTGACAGGAGGAAAAAATATAATTTGAATTTAATAAAAATTGAATTGATTGAATATATTACAAATCAGTTGCCTTATTTATGGGGAAAGACGGTTATTATTTTTGGTAGCCGAATATCATGGAAAATGTAATCTCATCAGTTACAAAAATTAAGGGTATATGACCGTTTTCTTTTTCATGGCTAATACTAATTATTTTGGTAGAGCTATGCAATATATTTTATGTAGGTAGTATAGATGCAATTAAAGATAAAACATGTAGAAGAATTAAAAAAATCCCTTAATGTTTTTTGGGTGAGAGGTGAGAATGATTAGTGGGCTTAACACAAACCTTTCCCTTCCCTTAATGTAATATATATTGTTGGGTTTGATTTAATATAATTGAGTGTGCAGGCTAAATTAATTAGGTGGGCGTGGGCTAAACTAACTAAGTGGACTGGGCTAAACTAAAAAAGATCAAAACATATATAAAATAAATGCAGTATTATTAAACTTACACGGGCTACAGCCCAGGACCTTCAAACTGTAACTCCGCCCCTGTTCATCATGTACCGGTTGCCAATTTTTAATTGAATGAAATCAAATATTTGTTTAATTATGGAAAAAAAGAAAGAGAAATTCTACCAACAACCGGTCATTACATTTACTTGTGTTTCAATTATTCCACGCAAGAATTCAGTGATACATTGTATATATTCCTGTCAGCACTTAATTTGATCCTGGCTTTGACATGACTTATCATCAGACTTTCAGCCCTTTGACTCATTATTTCATCTCGCTTACGCACACAGATTTTTTCTGCAACTGTTAATACTGCAAATGTTTACTGGTTTTTGCAATTTATATGGACTACATGCATATCCATTTATTTTACATTGCCTTTGATAACGCAAGAGATACATTTTGAAATCTTGTTTTTATTGTTATTTTCTCCATTCCATTTATGTTCAGGAGAAAAAAATGGATCTCATCATTAATAAAGCTGACTTAAATAAAATTATTGATTGGAAACATATATTTTCAAAAAGATCATTAACTAACATTATAGTTAGTTTCCGACACAATTAAATGAATTTATTCATATAAGTTTGACA